TTGGCGGTCGTTGTTAACCCGGGCCTCGACCGATCCGGTATGGAAATCGTTTTATTGATCTGCATATTTGATTTAGCTAAACGTTTTACGCCGGATGCCCTTCCTGACGCAACCCTCACCATTTACCCGGGCTTGGGACCGGCACTATACGGCTTTGGTTAAACAATTGTGTAATATAAATGTAAAATGTAATATTTTTATGTACAATATTTGTCCTTGGCAGTAAGACATGCAGACTGCTGCAAGGCTGATTCTATGAGGAAATAACTAATTTTGTCGTAAGTCTGGAATTAATTGTTCCTGATTTCCTCAGGAAACTTTTCTAAGGCGTATGCATAGGTCAGGCACTTCCATGTTCCTTTTTTGTTTTCTGTTAAACAACAGTTGATGTTTCTGTCTGAATGAGTGTGTTCAATTAGGTAAACTCAGCTTTTGTTCTGTGTTAAAAAAAATGTGAGTCATTTAATTAGTAAGGCCCTTGTCTATGTCAGAAAACTTGTTCTTTGTTGTCTTCCACTGGGAAAGATGGGTAGAGTTGCGTCACAAGGAGCGCCGTTTAAAATGACACAATTTAACTGACATTTATTCGTAAACTCCTAGGAAACATGATGCGAGATGACCCACCAAAAAACCTCTTGCGACCCACCTGAGGGTCGCGACCCAGTCTTTAGGAATCAATGGCTCCCCGGGCAGCTTAAAGCTGCCCACTGTTCATTTTGAGGTTTTTGTTTTTAACAACGTGAGAGAGTTTATTTTTGAAGGATGGAAGCAGTTCATGCGTGACAAGGCTGTTTGGTCGGTTTCAAGCAGGTTTCTTGCATTCATGTCAAATTTGGTGTTTTCTTTTTTTCTTGTGGTACTTGAATCTCATGTGCAAATGACTGGGAGGGAAAAATACACATGTAGTACCTTGAATTGGCCATTGTTTAGCTGTGAGGTAGAAAGATTGCGTGACAAGTTTGAATGATGTGTTTCTAGGTGTGGCTGTCAATGGTGACGATAAATGAAATATTCCCACACTGGGGAAATTGTTGTGTCGCAGCATTATAAGGTACGGCTACAGACACGAATAAAAAAAACTAAGTCTTGTAAAAACACACTTTAAAATCTTGACAATTTCATAGGTATTGCAGATGAGTATAATATATTGCACTCTACTACGATACTGGAGTATGATAAGACAAAGTTCGTTCTTGCACTGTGGCTGCAGCGTCCTACAGCTGAAAATTCCAATTCCGTTCTAATGTAAATGTTTTTTCACAGCCCAACAACAACAACAACAAAAATGTACGTGCTATAACGTATATACTAGGGGCCAGCTTTAGTACGCATTTGATATGATCTCGCTGGACAAATATAATTACACTGTAGGCCAGATTTGGGCCCCGAGCCTGAGTTTGCCTGAGTTTGTGCTGTAAACAGGCATAGGTCAACAAAGGACATATAAACTGTCATGTTTCATGGTAGAAAATTCAAATATTTCCAGAATTTTATTTTTTTTTTTAAAACTATGTAAATTCTTAATGTGCTCGGCCTTAACTAATTTGAATTAGTTTTTTATGGTGTGCAAAATTGAATTGTGTAACATTTTCATAGATTTGTTTTTGTTTAATTTAAGTGGTTCTTGTTTAAAACTAAACTAATATGTTCTGCATTTTAACTACAGTTGCAGGCACCATAAATATACCATCCATCCATCCATCCATCCATCCATCCTCATCCGTTACCAGGTCGCGGGGGCAGCAGTCGCCACCCAAATCACATTGCACCGTACCAAACCTGCGGGTGGTGAGTCCACTGGAGGGTACCAACCGCCCTAACCGGGATTCGAACTTGCCCAGGAGGTGAACCCTGGGGTTCCACACCAATGACAGAGACATTGCCTCTGGGCCAAAGCACCACACCATAAATAAATTTACGTGCTTATAAATAAATATGACAAAAACAAACAAAACAAGATGTTTGTGTACAAAATGTGTAGTTCGTAAGATTAGGAATCTTTAAAAATATATATACAATTAATTTAGTTATTTAAAAACGTCTCCAACGCCTTTGAACAGTCTTGTTATTAAATCTCTAGTCAATTGCGGTGCGTTTAGGTTGTGTAGGTTTTTCAACACTCAAAAATGAATCATTCAGAAATCAGAGCAAACAGGTTTTTAAACAAAACGTAAAATTAACTAAAACTAAAGATCTATTTTGGAATTTTTGAAAAGAAGGAAATCCCTCGTAGAAAACATCAAAATGAGGAAAATTGCGCTGATATTGTTTTTTTGAATGAATGTTTTGTGTTTTTTTTTTTTTTTAACAGACCTAAACGCAGCATTGATATGGCATCATCCTTGGCGAAACGAGCTTCTCGTTGCTTTAATCCCTTCAATATGACGGGAACACACCCACTCAGTCCTTATTAAAGTGCAGCTCATTGACACAATTTCACCACTTTGGGCTGAGTTTTATCCAGCACGCAGGCTGCTGCTCTCGAGCTCTTTCACGTGTACACGGTTGGTGAGTAGACATTTGAATACGAGGCTGTGTTTATGGAGACTTGTTACAATATTGACTCAACACGATAGAAAAATGATGTGATTTATTATTGCATAGTAAAACAAAGACAATACCAGAACAATATTGCAGTTTTACTTGAATGCTCAGTAGTGAAGGCTAACATTTAAAACGTGACTCCGTAGAGCCATGCGAGAACTATCGATAAAATTGTGGTGTCGTCACTGCATGCGCGTGCACGGGTTTCCCGTCATACAGTTACTAATTATGTTTAGATGGAGAGACAGATAGCACTGTAATAATACCCTCAGGAGTTTCCTTCGGGAAATTTAGGCTCCAGCAGCAGTACAGCATCAAAACAACAGTAAAAACACACGAACAGATAAAATACAAACACGAGTAGCAGCACACTGTCTATGAAAATTGGAATCCTGAACAGTGGATGTTAGTAGATTAGTAGGTTAGTATAAGTAGATAGACAGTGTTAGTAGATTAGTAGGTAATTAGTAGGTAGGTTTATCACAATACCAGCGACTCTGGGATGGTTTCTCTGTAAATTTTATTTAAAACCATTGGACTCAGACACAACCTATCACCCACTTACAAAGCACTTTTTAGGAACAATACCTAAAAGTTTCTCCTCAGTTTCACACAACAAAGAGGCAGGTGCCCGAAACCGTTCTGATGGGGACCACAAGGACCCATCAGACTCTTAACGACTGTTCACAGTTGACCCCAATTGACCCAACAGGGTGGAGCTGAAGTAGCTTTATTCTTTCTCACCTAAAGTATTTATCTGCTGTACTGCCCACCACCAGTTAGAACTGAAGAAGCCTCTTGGATTAGAGGTGAAACGTCTTCTTTTAGAAAATTCACATCCAGTTGTCTAACAGAACTTTTTTAACTTGACCATGACCTGGATGACTGGGAATCTCCATAGACATTGGTACAGATAGGTTGGTGGGTTTTTTTAGACCAATACAATCCTTACAGTTTTGTGAAGTCACTATTTGACCCACTAGAGCAGGCATGGGCAAACTAAGGCCCCGGGGCCAGATGTGGCCTATTCAGCTTTATAATTGGCCCACCAAACTTTTCCAAATAATTTAATTTATTTATATTATCATTATACTTCAACCTTTCCCCTGCAATACCCACGTTTCCCCAGTAGATGGTTAGAAAATGATTTCAGCATTTTAGACTTTATGCAAGACTTTTACATGTTATTTATCTCAGTTTACACGAACTGCTCCTGACCCTGTTCAATTTTAGGACAATTGTGGCCTGCGAGTCAAAAGGTTTGCCCACGCTTGCAGTAGAGGAATGTCTCTGAGCAGCATTTTATAATAATATTATAATAAATTAAGATTAAGTTTTTGGGTCCCTCTCAGCCAACCTCCATGCTTGGATAAATGTTTATTTGGTGTGAAATTGTATTTAATATTTTCAGACTCTGGATTAGCAGCTACTTGCTTGTAGCAATGACCAGATCAACACCTGTTGGCCCTGAACGTTATTAAAGTATGGTTTTGAAAAAGTAAATAAATAGGTCAACGTGTCTATTTATGACTAAAACACATTTTTGTGTGTGTCTTTTCATTTACATATGTGTAGTTGATGGGTGGAGGACACCTTGACTTATTGACCTAATTCTCTGATTCAGCAGAACCGGACATACTGTATGAGTGAAGTTGTTAAAAATATTTTTTTTTATATATGTATTTCAGATTTAAAATAAGCAGAATGTGTTCTCAAAAGTCCTGTCAGGTTTTAAAGAGTGTTGGTGGAGGTTATGTGGGCATAATGGATACTGATGACGGACCAAAGCTGTCCGTCATGGATATTCAAGGAGGAACAAATAATGGTAAGCTCATCACAATAACTTTGGGTGCTAAATTTTACTTCTAACTCTTCCATTCACCTGAGTTGGTCGTAATGTTGTATTATAATAATTACCGATTCTTTTTTTTTTCCTAGCACCAAAAATAATTATTTACCAGCGGATGGAACAAAAAGGAAATCAGAGCGGAAAAGCAAATCAGGTGGCCCTCTGCTGTCCACATGATCAGCTTTTCTACACCATTTGTGTAAAAGAGAAAAAGGTAACTTATACAGCACACTTTTGACATCAGCAGTACTGATATAAATAAATGTATATGTGGTTTTATTGTACATAAAAATGCTCATTTATTTTCATATTTTCCATTTTTAAACAAACATTATATTTTTTGTCTAGTATATATACAGTATATATGGGCCTTAAGAAAATATCAATACACTGATACAATGTTTTATTATATATTTTTATTCATCATACACACATACATACATTATATACATATATACTCTATATACACATACATACATATAGTTTATTTATATGTATGTATGTGTGTGTATATGTACCTAATGTACCCTCAATGTGTCTTTAAAATGAGAGAGAATATATATGTGTGTATATATATATATATATATAAGTATATATATATACATATATTGGCATATATGTATATAAATATATATATATATATACACACATATATATAAAAGTAATGACAAGAAAAGAACATTTATTTTCTAATCAGGTTTATATTCTTATGTGTCCATTATCCCTGCTAAGTATATTGGTGGTTCCATAGTGTAGTGGTTAGCACACTGTCCCAGAGCAGTCCTGAAGTTGATTCGCAGAGGAACCACATGCTTGATGATGATGTTAATCCTCCTCTGTTAAAATGAAAGTGTCTGTTTAATGCATAAATGTGAATGTATTTTAAAGCTTGGTCCATTCTGTGTCATTAATGAATTTGTTGGATCTTTGAGTGATACTTACACCACCTTCTTACCACTGATGTGAACATGTCCGGTTCTAAACACAGATTAAGTTAGAGAAAGCTAAAGCTGAGCCCAGTGGAAAATACCTCTGTGGATTGTCTGAGTGTTGGTTTAAAAAAGACAACAATGATGGTTCAGCATATCATGCTCTGGAGTCCGTGGATGAACCTGGCCAGTACCTTTGTTTAGTACCTGGAAGCAAAGACGTCTGCATTAAGCCACAGGTGTACTGCTTGAGGATCAAGTAGGGAAGGTAAGAAGTAAGAAGGTATTATACTTACCATACTTTTATGATGACAGATGTAAACAACAATATATTTTTTTAAAACATTTAATTTCTTACTACTACTATTTTAGGTTTTGTCTTAAATATATAACTGAAGTGTGTTACAGCCTACTTATCAGATTTATTGCCTGATTAGTTTGGGCAGGAATGAAGCTCTGGCCATTGGTTTGTTGCACAGATTTACTAGCAACTGTGCAAATTTAATGATGAACAGCTAAAGTGAAATGGAGCCAACAATAAAAACATAAACATTAAATAAATAAATAAAACATCTTAAGAGTAAATGTTGCTTCTTATTACCTGTTTCTTCTTGTGCTGCTTCTTTTTCAGGTGAAGTTCACCCGAAAGGACTGTAACATGGTCTGTACCAGGGGACAGCTCCACCTACCAGGATAGATAGATAGATAGACAGATAGATAGATAGATAGATAGATAGATAGATAGATAGAAACTCGGCTTCTTGTTTATGAACTTTGAAGAAAGAAATTGGAAAGAAATCTCAGAACAGTTGGCTTTTATACCCACTTCGTTTATTTTTAGAAGTTTATTTTAAATCGTGTCGTTTTCTTGAACCCTTTCACCCATAAAAGCCACTATGGCTAAAGATAATTAATGCGAGCATGTCCATTGTGTACTGCAGATACACATTAGCCACTGCATTGTACTCAATCCTATCACCTTACACCACCACCTAGTGGAGAGTCAGATATGTCATGTTTTCGGGTATTACTGCGTAAATATGGTAGTTACTCATACTGTATTTTGTGGAATGCAAAGCATATATATACACGTATATACTGTATATATTTATACACATATATGTATCACAAGCCAATCACAAGATGTTTGCATTCGCTTTATTTTAGAAATGTCTGATAATATCTGCCAACCGATATTATAGGCCGATATTAGCTTAATTATGTAATTTGGTCGTTTCCGATAATGAGTATATATAATAACGCAACGCCTGGATTTTGCCAAACGATGTGTGCTCTAAAATAGTTTGTGAAGTGAAAGTGAAACTGTTATTTGTATTGTACACAGTATTATCATTGTGGCATACCACTGCACATAATGAAACGTGTACTCTCCCTTTAACCCAAACGCCTACATATATCGGCATCGGGTGATATCGGAAGTTTTTGGACAACATGTGCAATTTGGATATCGACAAAATGTTAATATCGGACATCCCTACTTTATTTCCATTGGTTTGTTCTTTCGAGTCTGTATGTGAGTGTTTACACTGCTGGTAAGCACAGAAATTCCTCTCTGTAACTTCCACTGTACTATGTCTCCCCACAAATATGTGACACTGACAGTTTATTGGCATCGGAGTTCTGCAGCGTGATGTTCCAGAGCTGCTGTAATTAGTTGTGCTGTTCCGAGCACAGTCACCGCCTCAGACTACCGTCAGAGATTACCAAAATAAACGGATGCGGTGAATGGACGCACATGGTGTGCACGCACGATAAGCGTATCTATACCATGCATGTACTCGACTGTTATTCACTTAATACAAATTGCCTGCTTGGTTAACATGTAAAATACACACAAACGGTTTTTTTTTCTTTTTAATGAATTACTGTCTAAGGCTGATGATTGTCATTTTATTCGTAATGGCAGTGTTTTACTGTGAATCGACAATAAATAAATAAACAAAAGAAGCTGTTTATCCGTAAGGTGTTTTGGTGGGTTTTTTTTATCTTGGAGATGTGGTTAATGTTTGAGTTTCGTGATAGTGATTCATTCACTACAATACTGTACCAGTAAATCAGTGTGGTATCATTGGAATGTTTCACAATCTCATCACTTTAAATTTCTAGCAATAATTAACAGAAGCACAAGGGCTATGACTATGAGGAATTTAAAAAGGATCAAGTTGAATTATTTCACACATTTAACACATACTATATAAATATATGTATAGATACATATACATATATATAAATATATTTACATATATATACACATATGTATATATGTAAATATATCTATATATATATCCTGATATTTGTGTGCAAATAATCGAGAGACAGTGGGTTAAAATAACAAAAAACTATCTCCAAAAATAACTAAACAAATCACCAATTTTTCAATCGATTCATATCTGAAAAATGAGGAAATTCATTTTGCCAATTCAAGAGGTCAAAGTGTAAAAGGAAAAAGGGAAACAGCAGTGGAGTGGGCGAGAGGGAGTGGAGACAGGAAATAGAGAGAGAGAGAGAGAGAGACAAGGAGTCTTAATCCTGATTCCTGATTGGTAATGCTTTACATTATTGTAGTGTCATTTTTTTATATCATAATTATTTTTAGTCAACTACATTTTAAATAGCTTTAATCCAATGAAATGTACTCCAGTGACCCACTGCCTCTTCCTGTCCCACACCCCCTGTGTTTGCCTGCCACAATAATTGGGTATCTTTTCCACCTATGTCGTGTTTAGCGTTAACTTCTTTTTCCTGTTTGTATATGGACCCTCGCCTGCCTTTACCTCGTTGTTGACTCCTGAAAGTTGACCTCCTGTTATCATCATCACAGGCAGGTCAGATAAGATTAGATAAGGTAAGATTAGATGAGGCGATGGGGTAAAACCGTGTGAATCATTAGTTTATAGGTTCAGCTGTAACCGTTTCAACACTTACTGTACACTTTATTACATATACATATTTTAGATTTATGGGCGACGAAAGTCACGCATACATATATCAGGGTATTTATGTCTTACTTGTGGTTTAATGCTGCCCTCGTGTGGCTCAGATCTTAAGACGTCAATATCAGGTGTTATAAAAATGACAGTATAATGAGTGCACCATATATGTCGTTACATATATGGTTTGAGTAAAAGAGAAAAGGAGAGTCAGAACGAGACAGGGAGAGAGGTGGGGGGTTGAGGGGGTCTCTCCCAGCAGCCCACCCCATTTACTACAGTCACCTATAGAAATACATGGACACTGTACTCCTACAGAGGAATGGTACAGTTTTAGAATCCAGTGTCATATTCACTTAGCAACAGTGGCTAAAAATAGCTCAGGGGAAGCTCATTTACTACTATGGGATGTTGCTTCCAAAGACATGGAATCCCTGGCCACTCTGATCTCTCATCTCCTTGATTACATCAGCCCTAACGTTACATCAACCAAAAAGACTAATCCAGCTGCCTCTATATTCACACGTATCAAGTAATTGCTCTTAAAAGTTTTAACTCTGCTACGCCACTAGCGGGGCATGACCCCCACTTTGGGAAACAATAAGGTACTTTAGTCTTTCAGTGTAGGAACTTTGTAGCTATTTAAAGAAAGTATGTAAAAAATATTCACCTTTTGTCATTTTTTTGGACAAGATAAATTGGTTTAACTAAAGAATATATAGCTGCTTTGCAGTGTAGCCATTACATTAGATTAGGTTAGGTTAGATTCGATTAGTTTAGATTAAACTAAATTTGATCAGATTAGACTAGATTAGATTAAATTAAATTAGGTTTGTTTAGATTAGATTAGATTAGATTAGATTAGATTAGATTAGATTAGATTAGATTAGATTAGATTAGATTAGATTAGATTAGATTAGATTAGATTAGATTAGATTAGATTAGATTAGATTAGATTAGATTAGATTAGATTAGATTAGATTAGATTAGATTAGATTAGATTAGATTAGATTAGATTAGATTAGATTAGATTAGATTAGATTAGATTAGATTAGATTAAATTAAACTACATTAGTTTAGATTAGATTAGATTAGATTAGATTGAACTTTATCCGTCTCTTGGGAGTTCACCATTTCATATTGATTGACGTTGTATTGAACCCTGTGTATAGATGTGTGCATAATAGATTTTTCCTGGCAGAACTTTCGTAGTTTAAAGTGATGGAGTAACTTCACTAACTAAGTACCATGCAGCTTTAACTACACATAACTGTTGTTCAACAGCATGTCTGTGTAATGGAGATTCTAACGCCACTTTACCTTGTCGTTGTTATGTTAGCCTCTTGTTCTAATCTGTGGCTTACACAGAAACACCAGAATACGGTCAAACAGCTCCAACATGCAGCAGGTCATTTATACTGTATTTACAGACCCAGTTATCGCCATATCACCATAATCCTATGTCACCACTTCGTCCTGCTGGGATGGATACATGGAGCTGAGTGTGAGTGGGTGTGGTCTGCAAGTGTAATCCACACCCTACAACCTCATGGAGACCCAATCCCTGGCCTTTACCAGCTCTCATTTCTAGACTCCACTGAATGATGGATGGGCAGCTTAGCGTGTCTCATATCAGGACATGAGGGCCATGTGAAATAATCCCCTCTTTCACTGGCACCAGGTTCAGAGTGGTATTACATGCCCTTGAGCCGTCCTCTCTCCCTCTCTCTCCCTTTCTCTCTCTCCTCCTCCCACCCCCTCTCTCTTTCCTATACACGTAAACACAAATCCATGCTCTTTGTCCGTTCCTCTTTACAGTGCCTCATCATAAGTATTCACCCCCTTGGATGTTTTGCCCTTTTAGTGCTTTCATAAATCAACCATGGTCAATAAAATTTGACTTTTTTAACACAAGAATTTATTGGAAAAAAACTCTTTAATGTCAAAGTGAAAACAGATTTCTACAAAGTAATGTCAATGAAATAAAAATATATAAAGAAATATAATTGTTTGCATAATTAATCACCCCCTTTTTAAGTTAATGGTCTAATTCAATAGAAGTCCATCAAATTCTTGCCAATAGTCTCACAATTAGTGAAATGAAGATCACCTGAGTGGTGTGGGTGTGCTTCAAGTGATTGAGGTATAAAACACCTGTGTCCGAATGGTCCAGACTGGTGGATCAGTATTCTTGGTGACAATTACACCATGAAGACAGAAGAACACTCCAAGCAACTCAGGGAAAGGGTGATTGAGAAGTACAATTCAGGGGATGGATACAAAAACATTTCCAAGGCATTGAACATCCCCCAGAGTTCAGTGAAATCCATTATCAAGAAATGGAAGGAATATGGCACTTGTGTGAATCTGCCTAGATCAGGCCGCCCTCATAAACTAAGTCACCGTGCAAGTAGGAGACTAGTGAGAGAAGCAACCAAGACCCCTACGACTACTCTGAAGGAGTTACAAGCTTCAGCTGCTGAGATGAGAGAGACTGTGCATATAGCAACTGCTGCCCGGGTTCTTCACCGGTCAAAGCTTTATGGGAGAGTGGCAATGAGAAAGCCACTGTTGAAGAAAAGTCATATTAGATCTCGACTACAGTTTGCCAAAAAGCACGTGGAAGACTCCATGGTCAAGTGGAAGAAGATTCTTTGGTCTGATGAGACCAAAATC